TCACGCCTGTAATCCCAGCACTTTGGGAGGCTGAGGCGGGTGGATCACCTGAGGTCAGGAGTTTGAGACCAGCCTGGCCAACATGGTGAAACCCCATCTGTACTAAATAGTTTTACCAAAAGTAGTGGGGCACGGTGGCACATGCCTGTAATCCCAGCTATTCAGGAGGCTGAGGCAGGAGAATTGATTGAACCTGGGAGGCGGAGGGTAGAGTGAGCTGAGATCGCACCACTGCACTTCAGCCTGGGCAACAGAGGGAGACTCCATCTCAAAAAAAAAGAATAACAATATTTCCTCAATGGTGACTATGTACTGGGACACTCAGACACTATTGTGTTCTCATGTGAGAGGTAATATAGCATAGTTTTTAAAAGCAAAAATCAGAGTCAGCCTTCCTGGATGGGTATACACATCCTGGCTTTGACGGTTTCTAGCACTGTGACTTTGGGCTAATTGATTTCACTATGTCTCATTTTTCTCTTCTGCAAAATGGAAAAAATAATACCTATCTCAAAGGGTGATTATAAAGATTAATAGATAAAAAGCACTAGGAACAGTGCCTGACACACAGACGCACTATTTAAGTATTAGCTATTATTACAAGAATTGGAAGGCCTTCAATATCTCTGAGATCTGCAAATTCTCTGAGTTAAATATCCTCATGTATTCTCTTCATATTGAAGAAAAAAGTTTCTTTTTTAATCTTATCTGTGTCTAGCCCTAATCCAGATTTCTAGTGTCCCAATATATACTGTAGGGCAAGAAGCACTGCTATTCCCTAGTTGGTTACCTTGGCGCACAAAGATGGCAAAATCATCAACAAACATGGAGGTTAAAATGAGTAAATACTTTCCTCTTTACAAGTAGGTTCCTTATCCTAAAACATCCAATCATCACTAAACACCTTGATTTTTTTGGTAGCCAGATTAAGTAGCCATATGCAGAAGGGCCGTTACCTTCATGTTGTCCATGGATGATGTTTAATGTTCCATCAGGGGCACCAGAATCCTGGAGCAACTTAGCAAGAAGCATAGTTGCTCCAGGGACTCGCTCGGATGGTTTCATTAGGAAGGTATTTCCACACACCATGGCCATGGGAAACATCCAAAGGGGGATCATGGCGGGAAAATTGAATGGAGCAATGCCTGCACACACTCCCAGAGGCAGACGGTAGGAATAAAGGTCCATGTCTTTGGTGATGGATGGCATGGTCTCTCCCATCATGAGGGATGTCACACTACAGGCATGCTCAACCACCTCTGGAACACAGAAGTCAGGCCATCAGCTCTCCACACTGTGTACTAGTTAGCTTTGTCCTGTTCTCTTCAGCCCTGAGGACAGGAAGTGGCTCAGGCCAATGAAGGGGCGCAGGGTACACTGACTTGCCCTTCCAAGTTAAGGGTTTGTGCAAAATGAGATTCTCTGAATGGGAAAAATACAGCGATATGTATATACCCACTGGAGGATCATTTGAGTAAAGAGTAAAGTAAATCGGTCTTAGGGACACTGAATACTGCCATTTTTCACAAGCAGTAAAAAAGATATAATGGGATGGCAAAATCTATATAAAGGAAGAAGCAACCTCCCATTCTGAGATCTGTGCCTCCCATCTTCCTTTGCTCCTTCCCAAAAGTCCCATAAGGGGCTCCCAGCTTACGAAGGCCTCGAAATACATCTCCTTCAGCATCAGCTAGGGTCTTCCCTTGTTCCAATGTGATTAACTTGGCAATTTCTTTCTAGAGAGAAAACACACAGATAGAAATTAATGCAACAATGTTCCTCTTTTAAATTCTCAGGTAGCCAAGGAAGAATAAGACTGGAGGAGATGTAGTACAAGGGAGAGAGCCATGATCAATGTCTCTGCATACTGCAGAGTAAGGGAGGGTGGCTGAAAAGGTCTCTGTGAGAGTGACAAACATGCCCTAGGTGACAGTTTGGAGAAGCATACCATTCAGATTTCATACCAAGTTTTCTTTAATAAGTTGTTGATAGCGGAGCAAGACCTGCTGGCGGCTTAATACTGAAGTGTCTGCCCATGCAGGAAAAGCACGTTTGCAGGAAGCAATGGCTGCATCCATTTCTGCCTTGGTGGCCTGAGGGACTCGACCAATGACCTCATTGGTGGCCTGATGAGAAAAATAAGCACATGATCCTTTGCCCCTGACTCACTTTCTCCACTGTACATCTAGTCACAGAAGCAGCACTATGTGCTTTACAATAGACACCCAGGTCCCTACTTGCCCATCATGTCCCTAGAATTCTAGGCTCCTAAGTTGAAGTCCCAAAGCAGCTTCGCTTACTGGGTTGTGGATCTCGATCCATTTGTCACTTTTGGATTCAACAAATTTCCCATCAATGAAGAGCTTTACAGCTGGCTGAAAACAAACAAACAAACAAACAAAAAACCATGAAATTTTGTATTAGTTAATTGCTTTGCTTTTCTCTTTCCCTTGCACCAAAAGGAAAGAAAACAAGTTGATAATGGAATCTTCTGGTCTTTAGAAATGTTACCACTAGGAAAGAGACACATAATATCCTTATCTATTTTGCATGTGTGTTTATTTTATTTTATTTTTTTTGAGACAAAGTTTCCCTCTTGTCCCCCAGTCTGCGGTGCAGTGGTGTGATCTTGGCTCACTGCAACCTCCGATTCCTGATTCCCTGGTTCAAGCAATTCTCTTGCCTTAGCTTCTCGAGTAATGAGATTACAGGTGCCCGCCACAACACCCAGCTACTTTTGTATTTTTAGTAGAGATGGGGTTTCACCATGTTGGCCAGACTGATCTTGAACTTCTGGCCTCAGGTGATCCACCCACCTCGGCCTCCCAAAGTGCTAGGATTACAGGCATAAGTCTCTGCATCTGGCCCTTATTATTATTATTATTTTTTTTTCTTGAGACATGGTCTCACTCTGTCGCCCAGGCTGGAGTATAGCGGCATGATCATGACTCACTGCAGCCTCAACCCCCAGGGCTTAGGTGATTCTCCCACCTCAGCCTCCTGAGCAGCTGGGACTACAGGCACATGCTACCATGCCCAGCTAATTTTTTTGTACTTTTGATAGAGACGGGGCTTGGCCATGTTGCCTGGCTGGTCTCGAACTCCTGGGCTCAAGTGAGCCACCCGCGTCAGACTCTCAAAGTGCTGGGATTACAGGTGTGAGTCACTGTGCCCAGTCTATAGTTTATATTAAGATGTGGCAGAGCCTCTCAATACTGTGATCTCTCTGAGAATGGGAAATTCCCTGCTAGTCACACAGTGGAACTTCATGAGTGGAAACACGACATTGTGAAGTTTATACTAAAAAAGCAGCAACTCTGTTAACAAAGATTAGCTATTATGAGTTTTTGGCCCAGCTGACTGTTAATTACTGTGAGCATGCACTACCTTTATGATCAAAAGATTTTTGGCTGGGCCCAGTGGCTCACGCCTGTAATCCCAGCACTTTGGGAGGCCAAGGCAGGTGGATCACCTGAGGTCAGGAGTTCAAGACCAGCCTGGCCAACGTGGTGAAACCTCATCTGTACTAAAATATAAAAATTAACTGGGTTTGGTGGCATGCACCTGTAATCCTAGCTACTCGGGAGGTTGAGGCAGGAGAATCGCTTGAACCTGGGAGGCAGAGGTTGCAGTGACCCGAGATCATGCCACTGCATTCCAGCCTGGGCGACAGAGTGAGACTCCATCTCAAAAAAAAAAAAAAAAGATTTAAAAAATGTTTCTATGTATTTTTTTCTGAGATATAGCTCACTGTCACTAATTTTTTTTTTTTTTTAACATGGACTCTCACTTTGTCACCCAGGTTGGAGTGCAGTGGCACAATCTTGACTTACTGTAACCTCCGCCTCCCAGACTCAAGCAGTCCCCCTACCTCACCCTCCCAAGGAGCTGGGACCGTAGGTATGCACTACCATGCCTGGCTAATTTTTTTGCAGAGATGGAGTTTTACCGTGTCTCCCAGGCTGGTCTCAAACTTCTGAGCTCTGGCAATCCACCTGCCTCAGCTTCCCAAAGTGCTGGGATTACAGGCGTGAGCCACCGCACCTGGCCTCTTTCACTAATTTTTTTTTTTTTTTAATTTGAGATGGAGTCTCGCTCTGTCGTCAGGCTAGAGTGCAATGGTGAGATCTTGGCTCACTGTAACCTCTGCCTCCCGAATTCAAGTGATTCTCCTGCCTCAGCCCGTGAAGTAGCTGGGACTACAGGTGCGCACCACCACACCCAGTTAAGTTTTGTATTTTTAATAGAGACGGGGTTTCCCCATGTTGGCCAGGATGGTCTCGATCTCTTGACCTCGTGATCCACCCACCTCAGCCTCCCAAAGTGCTGGGACACTAAATTTTTAAAGCGGTCTGTGAACCAAAAAATGGTGATTTACTGTGGTACAGTGTGTGCATACTTCTGTGTGGAAAGAATTTGAGCAATAGTCCTTATTTATTAGATTTTAGGTGCTGGAGGTGGTTGACAGACAGTTGATCTGTAAAAACCACTCTAAAGGTTGTCAAGAAGAAGACAACTATCTGGCAGGGTCAGCAGAACCTCTAGAAGCCATGAAAATGTTTGTATCTTTTGACACGGTAATCCATTTCAGGAGGGAAATAATCCAAAAGGAGGAAAAAACTATATAAATAAATATTTGTTTTATAATATTGAAAAACTGAAGCAACCTAAATGTTATATAGGGAAACTATTAATTCAGGCTATATCTATTTGACGGAATATTATTGCAGCCATTAAAATTATAACTATAAAGACCATCTGGCAATATTGATAATGCTTACAATATAGTAGATCTAATATTAGATAAGAAAACCAAGATAGAAAGTTTCACATACACTGTGATGACAATTATGTAAAGAAGATAGAGATACCCAAAAACTATACTGAATTCCTTCTCAGAAGTCAACCTCTATGCCATATAAACTCACCACTGAAGAAGAGAATGAAGATGCTGAATACCAGGCGGAATTGGATTTCACCTTGAAAGAAACCTGTGAGGCAAAAAAATGATTATTTTGATAAATGAGAGCAGAAAGTTATTTAAAATTTAGCAAATAGCTACTATATGCTTAATACTATACTAGCTACTGTGGGGGCATGGAAAAGGACTTGATGTTTCTCTCAAAGGCCATATAGCCGTTAAAGAGAAAAGATATGAATCTATGACACAGCAAACTATGAACGAACAATAAACCATAATAATCATGTCCTATATGTCCAGGATAGTACTGATTAAAAAAAAATCTTTTTGTCATTATGTTTTCCTAATTTGGGCCTGGCAAAATGTACCATAAATCTAACAATATGAAAATACTTAGCATGGTATCTAACACAATAGGTACTGAATTTAAGATCATATAAAATCAATATGCTGGGCATGGTGACTCACGCCTGTAATCTCAGCACTTTGGGAAGCTGAGACGGGTGTATCACTTGAGTCTAGGAGTTTGAGACCAGCCTGGGCAACATGGCAAAACCTTGTCTACAAAAAATACAAAAATTAGCCAGGCATGGGTGGTGCATGCCTGTGGTCCCAGCTACTAGGGAGGCTGAGGTGGGAGGATTGCTTCAGCCCAGGAGGGTGAGGCTGCAGTGAGTCATGACTGTGCCACTGCACTCCAGCCAGGGAGATAGAGGGAGACACTGTCTCAAAAAAATAAAAAATAAAAATAAATAAAATAAATGTAAATATAAATCAAATAGTTTATTACCAAATGCAATTAAAATTATGTCCTTATACGTACTTGAAAAATGAATGTTCATAAGAACTTTATTTGTAGTATCCCAAAACTTGGAAACAACCCAATGTCTATCACTGGATGGGTGAATAAGGGAATTAATGTGGTATATTCATACACTGGAATACTACTCAGCAAAAAAAGGAATGACCTACTGATACATGCAATATAAACAGTCATAATAATTATGACAAGAGACAAGTTAGATAATAAGAGTACATACTGTATGATTCTACTTATGTAATACTAGAGAATGCAAACAAATCTGTAATATCAGAACGTAGAACAGTGGTTACCTGGGGATGAAGAGGGAAACTTTTTGGGGTGATGGACATATGTTCATTATGTTGATTGTGATGCTATTTTCACAGGTGTATACAAATGTTAAAACTTATCAAACTGCATACTTTAAATAAGTACAGATTTTTTTATGTCAATTTTATTTTAATAAAGCTGTATTGAAATGCCATAGGTACATTATAGGAAAAAATGTGTTGGATAGATATTTGATGGGATAAAATCAGCAAATAGGGAGGGAGGATCAGTTTCAACAAGATAACTCTCAAACTGTAACTCACTAAAAAAAAGTCTGTATATATGTTATCAAAGTTGATTTTTTGAGACGGAGTCTCACTCTGTTGCCCAGGCTGGAGTGCAGTGGCATAATCTTGGCTCACTGCAACCTCTGCCTCCCGTGCTCAAGCGATTCTCCTGCCTCAGCCTGCCAAGTAGCTCGGATTATAGGTGTCTGCTACCATGCCCAGCTAATTTTCTTTCTTTCCTTTTTTTTTTTTTTTGAGACGGAGTCTGGCTCTGTCGCCCAGGCTGGAGTGCAGTGGTACAATCTCGGCTCACTGCAAGCTCCGCCTCCCGGGTTCACGCCATTCTCCTGCCTCAGCCTCCCGAGTAGCTGGGACTGCAGGCGCCTGCCAACATGCCTGGCTAATTTTTTGTATTTTTAGTAGAGATGGGGTTTCACCGTGTTAGCCAGGATGGTCTCGATCTCCTGACCTTGTGATCCGCCTGCTTTGGCCTTCCAACGTGCTGGGATTATAGGCATGAGCCACCGCGCCTGGCCTAATTTTCTTTTTATTTATTTTTTGAGACAGAGTTTTGCTCTCGTTGACCAGGCTGGAGTACGGTGGCATGACCTTGGCTCACTGCAACCTCCACCTCCTGGGTTCAAGTGATTCTCCTGCCTCAGCCTCCTGAGTAGCTGAGATTACAGACACCTGCTACTATGCCTGGCTAATTTTTTTTTTTTTTTTTTTTTTTTTTTTTTTTTTTTTTGCATTTTTAGTAGAGATGGGGTTTCACCATGTTGGCCTGGCTGGTCTCGAACTCCTGACCTCAGGTGATCCACCTGCCTTGGCCTCCCAGAGTGCTGGGATTACAGGCGTAAGCCACTGCACCCAGCCTATATATATGTTATCAAAGTTGATTTAAGAAATATTTAAGCCAATCAAAATGAGCAAACTAAAATACTCAGGACTGGGATATAAAGGAAAGCTGCAATCTAATAATCTTTTATCTTGCCTGAAAAGGGACTCTGTTAACCACGGAGTATAGGGCTGCATGAAGGGTGCCTACAGCACTGCCCAGGAAAAGATGGTGGTCCTTTGGTCCAGCAGATAGTCCTTCCAAATACCTCATCTGCTTGCTCTCCTATTCCCTACCAAAGCCATTTCAAACCACTGACACTCTCCTGGAGCCCACCATGTCTTATTTATAGCTATGTTCCCAGTACCAACATAGCACCGGGTAGGTGTTCAGTAAATAACTGCTGAATAAAATAGAAGCCCACTGCTGTCTGCTTCTTACCCCAAACTAGGTTAAGAGGCCCTTTTTTATCCTCTGAAAGCAGCCAATACTTCCCCTTTCAGGCTTATCTCTCTGTGTTGTAATTGTTTGGGGTCTTACTCTGTTTTGTGTTGCTATAACAAAATACCTGAGACTAGGCAATTTATAAGGAAAAGTAGTTTATTTAGTTCATGATTCTGCAGTCTGGGAATTTCAAGGGATGGCTCTAGCTTCTGGCGAGGGCTTCTGTCCTGTGTCATAACGTAACAGAGAAGATCAAAGGGGAAGCAGACCTGTGTGAAGAGGCAAAACTGGGGCGGGGGGCAGTATCCTGGCTTTATAGCCCACTCACACAGGAACTAATCCATTCCCATGGGAACTAATCCAGTCTCAAAAAAGCAAGAATCCACTCACTACAGCACAAAGCCATTCATGAAGGATCCACCCCCACGACCAAAACACCTCCCACTAGGTCCCAACACTACCACATTGGAGATTAAATTTCAACATGAGTTTTGGTGGAGACAGACCAACCATATCCAAGCCATAGCACCTGGGTACTTATCTGTTACCCATAAAGACTCTCAGTTTCAGGAGGGTTGACACTGCATCTGTCTTGTTCACCTACTTCACAGAGTTAAAAATTATAACTGATCAGGACTGTCCAGTTATAGAAAAGTAGCTAGCACAAAGTTGGTACTCATTAAATCTTATTGTTATGTCATTGTAAATAACGGCATGGTGATTTGTGCCTGTAGTCCCAACTACTCAGGAAGCTGAGGCAGGAGGATCTCTTGAGCCCAGTTCAAGACCAGCTTGGGGAACATAACAAGACCCCATTTCTATAAATAATAAGTAAACACTTATTATTTGTTTTCACTCTTTGCTATTCCACAACTTTATCTTAAAACTCCCAACTCTACTACTTCCTCTTCCACTTTCAGGAGCTGACTTTGTTTTTCTTACTTCAGAGCACATAGAAACCATCAGATGAGAACGTCTCAACTCCCTAATAGCAAACCTACAAAACTGAATTCAACCTAAGGAGAAGGTAGCCAGCAAGCTCCATGCAGGAAAAGTGACTGAGACAGTGGTGCACAATCAATATATGTGGACTGGAAGAAGAGGTATATGCTTTTTTTTTTTTTTTGAGACAGGGTCTTGTCCTGTCTCCTAGGCTGGAATGCAGTGGCATGATCATAGCTCACTGCAGCCTGCAACTCCTGGGTTCAAGCCATCTTCCTGCCTTAGCCTCCCAAGTAGCTGAGACCACAAGCACGTACCACCACACCCAGCTAATTTGCTTTTATTATTTTATTATTTTGAGACAGAGTCTTGCTCTGTCACCCAGGCTGGAGTGCAGTGGTGTAATCTTGGCTCACTGCAACCTCTGCCTCCCAGGTTCAAGTGATTCTCCTGCCTCAGCCTTCTGAGTAGCTGGGATTACAGGCATGCGCCACCACACCCAGCTACTTTTTTGTATTTTTAGCAGAGATGAGGTTTCAACATGTTGGCTGGTCTCGAACTCTTGACCTCAAGTGATCTGCCTGCCTTGGCCTCCCAAAGTGCTGGGATTACAGGTGTGAGCCAACACATTTTTGAATTTTTAGCAGAGACAGTGTTTCACCATGTTGGCCAGGTTGGTCTTGAACTCCTGACTTCAAGTGATTTGACCATCTTGGTCTCCCAAAGTGCTGGGATTACGGGGGTGAGCCACCACGCCAGGCCGCCATTAACTCTTTTAAGTTTCCCAAGGCTTGGTCCTAGGCCTTCTTTTCTTCTCATTCTGTATATGCTCCTTGGGTGATTTTTATCAACTCCCATGGCTTAACTATCTAGATCCTGATGATGCCCAACTCTTTAGTCCTTGGCCAGAATTTTCTTCTTCAGGTGATACCCACGTAATTATCTTTACCACATCTCTATTTGGATGTTACATAGGCACATGTTAAAAAAAGGTGGCTGGGCACAGTAGCTCACTGTAATTCCAGCACTTTCGGAGGCCGAGGCACTTTGGGAGGCTGAGGTGGGAAGATCACTTGAGTTCAGGAATTTGAGACCTGCCTGCACTCAGTGGAGTGCAGTGATGCGATCTCGGCTCACTGCAAGCTCCACCTCCTGGGTTCATGCCATTCTCTTGCCTCAGCCTCCTGAGTAGCTGGGACTATAGGCGCCCGCCACCACGCCCAGCTAATTTTTTTGTGTTTTTAGTAGAGACGGGGTTTCACCATGTTAGCCAGGATGATCTCGATCTCCTGACCTCCTGATCTGCCTGCCTCCCTCCCCTCCTGGTTCATGGCCTGCTAGTCCTACAACATTTGGCTCTTTCCCTAGGTCTCCACAGTATCCCTGTGGAGGTCACTTCAGAAGTTTCTCCAAATGAATCAGAAAATACATAGTGTCCGTTTCCGAAATAAAGTACATGGAAAGATTCTTCTCCTTGATGGAAAAGGACAAAATATTAAGTATTTGGGTCTCTCCTTCGGCAACTTGGTAAAGGATAAACACTCCTATTGTTTATCACTTATTGCAGTACAATAAAGGAACTTTCAGTGAGCATTTCACTGTAAGCCTATGTCAGTGCCTAACATAGAAAGAGATGGCAAGATTTAAGTTCTGAATTTTCAGCCCCATCAGTTACTAGTTCAGTAACCATATCACTGAAAGTGCAAGTCACTACATCTTTTTTAAGAGTAATTTTCTTGCCCAGGTGCAGCAGTTCATGTCTGTAATCCCAACACTTTGGGAGGCTGAGGTGGGAGGATCACTTGAGTTTAAGAGTTCAAGACCAGCCTGGGCAACATGGTGAAACCCTGTCTCTACAAAAGATACAAACATTAGCTGGCATGGGGGCACGACCTGTTGTCGCAGCTACTTGGAGGGCTGAAGTGGAAGAATCACTTCAGCGTGGGAGGTCGAGGCTGCTGTCAGTTGTGATTGCACCACTGCACTCCAGCCTGGGTGACAGAGCGAGACCCTGTCTCAAATATTCCTTTATCTCTGAATGGGAGTGATAATATCACAAGGAGCAGAAAGAGGTTTTAGGTTAAGTTTGACTACTCTTCATAGCAGAGAAAAATAAGCTGAATACTTAAAATAATTGAAAACGTGAACTCTCTATAAATCCTTTTGATAGTTCTCTAATATTCATGGCTGCCAAAATCGAGGGTTTTTTTTTTGTTTTTTTTTTTTTAAGACGGAGTCTTGCTCTGTCACCCAGGATATAGTGCAATGGCACAATCTCAGCTCACTGCAATCTCTGCCTCCCGGGTTCAAGTGGTTCTCCTGCCTCAACTTCCTGAGTAGCTGGGATTACAGTCGCCTGACACCCGGCTAATTTTTGTATTTTTAGTAGAGAAGGGATTTTACCATGTTGGTCTGGCTGGTCTCCAACTCCTGACCTCAGGTGATCCACCCACCTTGGCCTCCCAAAGTGCTGGGATTACAGGCAGGAGCTACAGCGCCTGGCCTCTAGGCTACTTTTTATCAAACTTTTAATCAAAGTTTCATGTTACAACTCCTAGTTGGCTGAGGATTACTCTATCTGTTCTTTTCTAGGTCACTTCAGAAGTTTCTCCAAATGAATCAGAAAATACATAGTGTCTGTTTCTGAAATAAAGTACAAGGAAAGAGAGATTCTTCTCCTTGATGGAAAAGAACAAAATACTTTCTTAAGGTTCTCAATGACTCATTGTGATGGGAGGGGAAGAGGAGGCAAAGGAAAAAAGCCAATTTCAGTAAAAGATTTCAAGAAGTTGGTAAGAAAAATATAGGGTGGAAACTTTGTTTTCCTGCTACTAAAAAAAGATACTAGAACAGAACAAGGATCACAGCAAGAAATATGAGTGAGGCCAGACCATCTGACAAACCCTTCAAACTCATCCTTTCTACCGTCCCCATTAAATAGCATATTTAAACGTGAATTTTTGCTGACTCTGCCAAGAATCTTGAAAATGCCCAAGTTTCTGTACTAGAACTCATGGAAACCTGGTGAATACTAATATTACCTAAAAGCGCAGCAATAGAGAGGAAATTCTCAGACTGGATGTAATGAATAAGAAGGGCACTGTTGTTTCTTGCTGATTGTTTCTTGCCTGCAGTAAATCTTGCCTCATACTCTAAATCCTTGGTAGGCCATGAACAGGGGAAAGACTATAAACAGAGTTGGAGATTACAGGCCTCAGGCATGCAACTCCTGTAGCTTTACCATTTCTCCTTAGGTTGGCTTCAGAAAGGACTCAATCCTCCAAGTGCAGAGATGAGGGTGTGTGGCACTAGAAGAGCTGATTTGGGGTGGGAACTTAGACTTCTTGTCTTACCTGGCTCCCACTTTCTATCACCTGTTTTGAAAATGTTTAGTACCTTGAACGTACATGGAACATACTGGTAGCGTTAACTGTGTGCCCTTATCTACCCTATGTACATGTGCCCTATCTATGTAAACTGTTTAACTTGGCTGAGAGAAAGTTTCACTGAAAGTTTTGCCAAGAAAGGGGACAGCCAGTCTATGGAAAATACAAAGAGCCACACTTAGGGAAAATAATTCGGTAAATGGCTGCCTTTGGTGAAAATCTAGAGTCCACTTCTAGAAGAAAATTCAAAGTTCATACACTGACCCTCGCCCCTCGCGTTCCCCCTCCCTCTTACCTCGGATCACCACGGACAGTGAAGTAGGGTGGGGGAAGGGAGCAATGGCAACGTGGACGCTCAAGGCAGGGGACAGAATAACCAAAAAGAGTAGTTTCTGGGGGATAGAGAGAACGCTGGTGCAGAGGTGAAAGGGAAAGACGGTGGGCGGATGGAGAGATGAGGGCAAGAGACTGACAGCAGGGAGCGGGCAGAGCTGGAGAAGGAGAGTGGGCGAGAGCCAGAAAAGAGGAGGCTTAGGAGTAAAAGGGTAGAGGGCCAAGGGTAACAGCCCAGGGTTGGATCTGGGACGAGGGAGGGTATGAAGTGAGGGCTGGGCATGGGACAGGGCCCACAGGTTAGGTAGGAGGTCCGGCCAAAAAGGGGTTGGGCCAAGAAGGTGGTCCCGCCCGAGGATGGCTCAGGGAGCGGACGGAAAGGATCCAATTCCTAGCTTCATGGTGCCTTGGCGCCACCCTCACTCGCCTGCAGGATCCTGGCTCGCACTGCCGTCGCCGCCGCCGCCACTACCGCCGCCATGGCTCTCGGCCGCCCTAGCTCCGCAACCCTCTCCTCTACAGCTCAGAAGCACTACTGCTGCCAGGCCTCGCCCTCCATCCTGCCGGGCTTCCTCATTGGTGGGGAGGACTATTTTCTTCAGCCAATCACTCGTCCTAACACCTGATTCCTCCTCTCACACCCCAGTCCTGGGGATAAGTGATTGGTCAGGAGCGAAAATGCTCTCACCCTCTCCTACCTCAGCCAATGCCGTTGGCGGAGGTAGAGAAGACGCCCCTGACTTGGACACTCCATACTGCGCACACGGAGAAGACGCCCCCCTAACCTGGAACTCCGATTGGCCAAGGACGCAACCGAGGCCCCACCCCTTCACTGAGAAAAGTAAATAAGACCCTGCAAGAATTTTGCTGTCGCTCCACCTCAACAACTGCGTAAGGGGCGTGGCTATGATGAGGGGAGGGGCTGGGCGAAGATTGCCCTATGAGGCGAGGGAATGAGACGTGGCTGCGAGTTGGGGATAGGGTTTCTCTTTGGGGGCGTGGCTTATGGATCCTCGTTTTCCCGCCGACGGTTGGTCACGTCACGTGACATGGGTTGGAAGATGGCGTCTCCCACAGACGGTAAGAGCCGGCTTAGCGATGTTTGCCTGCAGCCTCCTTCTTTGCTGTATGGGGAACATCCACTCTGTCTCTGCCCCTCGAACATACATTTCTTTCTTGGGCTCTTCTCCTTTCCCTTTTGTTTTTTTTCTTGCGATCCATCGCCGTCTTCAGCTCACCGGTTCTTCGCAGCAGCTTCAGAGGTGCCCAGTTTCCCCGCTCTGTACCAGGCGTGTGGAGGAGGGCACTAGGGAGGGACTCAATCTGGGTAAAAGGACAGGGGGTCGCCCTGGCCCTTCCTTATCTCTATTTGGGCGAGGCTGAGGGTCGAGGAGGAGATGTTACTGGAGGACGTGCCTTACTGTAGTTTTCTCCTTGGGGTATCCCATTGAAAGGATCAGTTCTCTTCTGATTGAGCGCACGGATGGAACGATTCTCAAACCCTCGCAGGGGCTGCTGGCTGACCTCATCTCGATAGTGAACCGCAAGAGAAACATGATCTCTCTCCTGTCTCCTCAGTTTGGGACCATGGCAGCAAGAGAAGCGGGGGACGTTCTCGGCCCCTCGCCGCGAGAGTCGCGAGGAGAATGAGTATTGAGCTTTTAAGTGTTGTCTTGCACAGGTCGCAACCGCTCTTTCATCTGCTTTACGTGTTGTTTCTTAAGGCTGAGTGAATGAACGATTTCTGTTTATATGTTGTGTAAAATGCAAGTCATCTCAAGTAACAATTAAGTTGTTTTGGTATACTCCCATGCTTTTGCTCTTGGTTCTGCTTTAGAGAGGGTCTTGCAGTCATTTTTAAACTCATTTTTAGTTCTACCATCCCCATCCCAACTATATATCGATTTTATTGATATATAGGTTTTCCTCCCTTAGACAAACAGATTTTGTATTTGGAAGGAATCTTGGAAGTTCATTGCAGGAATGAAGAAATTGAAGCCAAGGTGAGCTGTATTGAGTACCTACTACATGAAAGGCATAATGCTAGGTGCTTTGGGAGACCAAAAGATGACTCAAACATATACACTGTTTTTTTTTTTTTTCCAGTTTCAGTTCTCTTTTTAGATGTCACCTCCCAAAGAGTCTTTCTTAGAACACAGTATCTGGAGTTGCCCTTCCCCACCATTATTCATTGTCTCAGTATCTTCCTTGTCAGCATAGTTACTATGTTAACTTTGCCCCTTGTACGCTAGATTATAAATTACAAGTTTGTCTTGTTCATAGCTGGATCCCAGGTTTAGCACAGTGCCTGACGAACAGTAGGTCTTTAATTAACATTTATTGAAAGATTGATTAGATATGTGCAGAAATAATATATTACTTGATCTTAAGTTTTACGTTTAACCGAGTCTTAAATTTTGTGAGCACAGGTACATACTGTGTTAGAAATTATGGCCGGGCGTGGTGGTTCACACTTCTAATCCCAGCACTTTGGGAGGCTGAGGCAGGCAGATTGCCTGAGCTCAGGAGTTGAAGACGAGCCTAGACAACATGGTGAAACCCCATCTCTACAAAAAAATGCAAAAATTATCTGGGTGTGGTGCCGTGCACCTGTAGTCCCAGCTATGTGGGGGGCTAAGGCAAGAGAATCGCTTGAGCCTGGGGGTGGAAGCGGCAGTGAACCATGTTCATGTCACTGCACTCCAGTCTGGGTGACAAAGCGAGACCCCGTCTCCAAAAAAAAAAAGAAGGAAAAACAAGAAATTTTGGATGTTTGGAGTCAAAAGAGATTCTCCTTCCTGGGTGCTCTCTTGCAAAAATGTCCTTCTCTCGCCAGAAAGAAAGGCATTTAAAAAGGGAATAGGGAGTTATTGCTAATGGGTACCAAATTTCAGTGTGGGAAGGTGAAAGTGTTCTGGAAATGAATGTGATGATTGCACAATTAATGTACTTAATACCACTGAACTGTATACTTAAAAGTTATTAAAATGGTAAAATTTATGTACATTTCACCACAATTTTTTTAAAAAGCCAAATGATAGAAATAGAGGTAATTGTTATTAAATTTTTTAGTTTATTTTTAAATTGTTTTTACAAATTTTGGGGATTTTAGAGATGTGTTCCTTGAGTTTGATTTTTTTTTTCCTTGTCTTCTCTCAATTTAGTTTCCTTTCTTTGGCCAGGAAGAGTATTAAAAATGTTAAATTTTTTTCCTTTGGTCTTCTAGCCATCCCTATGGTCACTTTATTTGCACTCTTGATTTTTAAAAGTCTTCATTCTCATCTCTTACAAAGTTTCACTCCTCTCCACCTAATGTTTTCTTTTAATCTGAAAAAATCAAGTCAAGCACTTTGAACTTAAATTCAACATCTCAGTAAGTATCTCATTCCAAAATATTCCATGGCCTAGCTCTCTCACTTCTATTTTTAGTGTTCCACCTGTCACTGTCTTTAAAATTTAATTCAGATAACATTGACTTGAAAATGTTTGTCATTTACTCTTTTGTCTTTTTCGTGATAAATTTGCTGGAGCTTCTTTGAAAAGGAGAAAACTGAAATTCAAATACAGCCATCTAATTACTTAATTTATGAGAGTAAGACTCACAGCAGAGTCTGAGTTCTATCCCAGACTGTGGTATCATAAGGTCACCCATGTAGGTTATTAGATTGTACCCCCAATAATTTTTTTTTAAATTTTCTTTTAGAGACAGGGTCTCTCTCACTCTATTGCCCATGCTGAAATGCAGTGGTATGATTATAGCTCACTGCACCCTCAAAGGCTCAAGCTATCCTCCCGTCTCAACCTCCCAAGTAGCTGGTACTATAGGCTCACACCACCATGCCCAGCTAATTTATTATTATTATTATTTATTTTGTTTTGAGACGGAGTCTCACTCTGTCACCCAGGCTGGAGTGCCGTGGCACGATCTCGGGTCACTGCAATCTCTGCCTCCAGGGTTCAAGTAATTCTCATGCCTCAGCCTCTCCAGTAGCTGGGATAACAGGCACACACCACCACACCTGGCTAATTTTTGTATTTTTAGTAGAGACAGGGTTTCACCATGTTGCCCAGGCTAGTCTCAAACTCTTGACCTCAGGTGATCCACTCACCTCAGCCTCCCAAAGTGCTAGGATTACAGACGTGAGCCACCGTGCCCCGCCTTATTATTTTTTGTAGAGATGAAGTCTCACTATGTTGCCCAGGCTGGTCTCAAACTCCTGGGCTCAGACAATCTTCCTGCCTCGGCTTCCCAAAGCACTGGGATTCCAGACACGAGCCACTGCACCTGGCCCAATAACTTTATTTTTGTTATGGTTGAACATTCCTCAGAAATTGGTAACAAAGAGAAGCTAATTTTTGATGCTTTAGTTAAGGCAGTGTATTAGTTGAGTTCTTTACAATTAAAATGCCATTGGAAATTCCTTTGGGATATTTGGCAAAACAAATTCAGTTTAGAGAAAAGTACATGTTGAAAAATTTTGTACGTATGTATATTTTCTGGGGAATGAGTTCATTTTTTTCCCCAGATTTCCAAAGATGTGGCTTACCCAGAAAATGTTAAGAACCACTGTTTATAGCATTAAATGAACTAGTTATGCAACTGGTTAGCATACTGAGCATACAATAAAAATTCAACGAATGTTAATATTGAGTACTACTCTGTGCAAGGGAAGAGTGGAAAAGAAATTATGTCAAAGAATTAGGCAGAGGCTGAGTAAGATTTTATAGAGTATGGTAGATACACATTCACAGATTTAACTGGGAGGAACTTTAAGCTGGAGAGTGACACGAACTGATTGACATTTAAAAAAATCATTTCTGGCCTCTTTATAGAGAATAGATTTGGGGGCGTGAAGGGGAAAGGGTAAGAATGGGAGCAGAGAGATCTGTTAAGAGGCTATTGAAGTAGTCCAAGAGGGAAGTGGTGGTTCCTCGGGTTATTCGATTTCAGGGTGTATTTTGAAGGTAGAAATGACTAGATTTACTCATGGATTGGTTATGGAAGGGTGAAGGAAAAGAATGCATGAAGGATGACATCTGGGTTTTCGATTTGAGAAGTAGGGTTTATGGTAGTGCTATTTCTTGAGATGGGAGAAGATTGGGGGAATATGGTTTTGAAGATAATTAGGTTTAAGTGGGAATTTTTCTTTTTTTTTGAGACAAGGTGTGGCTCTATCACCCAGGCTGGAGTGCAGTGGTATGATCTTAGCTCACTGCAGCCACCACCTCTGGGCTCAAGCCATCCTGCCACCTCAGCCTCCCAAGTAGCTGGGACTACAGGCTGACACCACCACACCTGGCTAATTTTTTGCTTTTTGTAGAGATGGGGTTTCGCCATGTTGGCCAGGCTGGTCTCAAACTCAAGCAATCCACCCACCTCGGCCTCCCAAAGTGCTGGGATTACAGGCGTGCACCACTGCATCTGACCTTAAGCGGTTTTTTCATATGTAAATAGAGAGGGATTCAAATAACCACTTGGACATAAACCTTTGTAGTTCTTTAGAAAGGTTGGCAATGGAAATGTAAATATGGAATCATTGGCATACAGATGAAGATAAAGTCCTCATGTTGAAATAGGAGAGTTCCCTAACCCCAGGATATGCGACAGGGGTGTGGCTTGTCTTTGTGCGCTCAAACCTTTTACGGGAGGGGGAGCATGCAGATGGGTGGGTGTAGGAGTCAGGGCGAGCACTTTTGGGCTCCAGCCCCATGGTAGCGTCTAGGGGTGGGTACCTGTGACTCCCAAAGCCCAAATGGGCATGTATAACAGTGCACTCTTTTTTTGTTGTTTTTTTGAGATAGGGTCTCGCTCTGTTGCCCAGGCTAGAGTGCAGTGGCATGATCTTGGCTCACTGCAACCTCCACCTCCCAGGTTCAAATGATTCTCCTGCCTCAGCCTCCCCAGTAGCTAGCATTACAGGTGTGTGCCCCCACGCCTGGCCAATTTTTATATTTTTAGTAGAGACAGCGTTTCACCATGTTGGCCAGGCTGGTCTTGAACTCCTGACCTCAAGTGATCCACCCGCTGTGGCCTCCCAAGGTGCTGGGATTACAGGCATGAGCCATCGTGCCCGGCCAGTGCACTCTTTTAGCTTTGCTGTCTGCAGATGCTTAAGTGTTAAGTGACTCAGTGCCCTCTTGGTACCAGCGTCCTTGTCTGGTGTCCAGGAAGAATCAGATTGCACATGGACTTGAAGGATGGTGAATGTATGAGTTTTATTGGGTGGTGGAGGTGGCTCTCAGCGGGATGGATGGGGAGCTGGAAAGGGGAGGGAGTGGGAAGGTGATCTATCCCTGGAGTTTGGCTATTCAGTGGCTGATCTCATCTCTGACCTTCCCCAGCCAAACTTCTCTTGGCATTCAGATGCTCCTTCTCTTCTCTCTGCAGTTCTTCTGCCCTTCTGTTCATCTCCTTGTGGAGCCTGGAGTTTGGGGTTTACATGGATATAGAATAGTGGGGCATGGTGGGCCAAAAGGCAACTTTTGGGCATGAAAACAGGAAAGCCTGTTCCCATTTCTGGCCGCAGGTTTCGAGACTTGAGGGTGGGGCCTTTGCCGGGGGACCACCCTCTTCTTCTATCCAGTATTTTCCTGTTTTCTGTGTGTTTCAATTTATGCCACTAAAGTGAGGTAGAGAGAGGAGCCAGTGT